CCTCCTCTTTCTCCTGCCAGCTTTCAGTTGCTGCAAGGAGTGCCACATAGGGGATCAGTTCCAGTAATCCTCCCCCGCCACACTGATCACCCCCTCCTGTCCATGTTCCTTTTTCCCCTACTGCACTGATGGGACCTGAGTTCCATAGAGGAAGCCTGACTGAACCCCATTATCAGCGGCCCTGGTCACCCCTAAAACCCTTCCTACTCTCTCATTGACTCCATTGTATTTTGCTGAATGGCAAATTTTCACTCATCTCCAGTGCTGACCTTTTGAGAGAAGCATGCCAAGTACAGCCGCCACCGACTTATCCCTCTGTAATACTCACCTCTGTTGAATGACCCGTCAACATCATTTCACCATCTCCCTCCCATCTCATCCAACATAAAACCATCCCCAAGTGCTTTATAGGCAGCTGTAAAAAGGCCGGCTATGTCTGGGGCGCCATCCCACAGTCTGTAAAACCATCAGACACCTTTTACAAGCCAGACGGGCAAAAGTCAGTGCCACTGAGAAGTTACCTTGGGAACCGGTCACCGTCTCATCCTTTCTGACGGGAAGAAGGTATAACCCTTTAAATGCTGATCAGCTGTGGCAAGCAGGGCAAAAAAAAAAAAAAATCTATTTCTGCATATCCCTACCTGACGCCTGCTCCCCCCCCCCCCATTCTCCAAACAGACCCATGTCTTGTCAGCGTGCCAGAATTGCGAGTTGCCAATAATGATTCTTGCATGAAAATTGATGGTGAGAGAAGGGGGGCATTCGCTCTCCTCCTCCCTCTTCCTCTCTGCTCTTATTCCAACCCTCTATTATTGTAGCCTGGGGGGGGCTCATGTCTTTCCTCTCTCTCTCTTTATCTCTCTCTCTCATTCTGTGCCAGGACTGCCAGAGATAAGCGACCACCAAAAAGCTTGCAGCAAAGGGGGACCTCCATCCGCCAACATGGACAGTCTCCGTTCTGCCCTTTCTCGTAGGACCACCATGTGATATCCAGATTTTATTTTTTCTAAATTCTACTTCGATCCAAGAAAGAAAAAAAAAGAGATAGATGGTTTTTTTTTTTCTCCGTTTTCCTTCCCTGGCAACAGGACTCCCTTTTCCTCCCCTGAGCCTTAATTTCTATTTCCCCTCTTATCCCAAGTAGCATGCCCTATTACAGCGATCCATTGACCTTCGCCCTTGACATTCAAATTGCTGAATGGAGAGCCAGGGGGTGCTTTGGCTGTCTGCAACACAGAGGGATTGCTAAACCTTCTGATTCTTAAAAGAGGAGCCTTAAAAGCTTTGAACACTCCCTCCGTCCCTCCCCGCGATTTTCTTCCTCTCTTTTTTTTTTTTTTTGTCATTATTTGCATTACTGGGCTGGGAGCCTGAAAACACGGAAGAGCCTTTGCAGACAGGACTGAGCTGTGTTACTCTCTGGATCACCCAGAGAGAAAAAGTCCTTTGGTTCCCCCTTCACCCCCCCTTCCCCAAGTCCTGCCGCTAACGTTCTGTCCCCGTCCCCCCCCCAAAGACGATGGGACTATAATCCGCCAGCGCTCTTTCTTTCTTTAATTGAACTTCGTAAGCAATCATGTTTGGATTAAAGCCTCCGCTGTACTACTTGCCAGGTAAGAACGCGACTCACTTTCATCATTTTGTTTTTTCTGTCATCATGGTGTCATGTCCTCACCGGATTTGGGTTTATTATAAGAGTGGCGCGGGTCTTTGCCCGGCATTGCCTTCTGCCCTTTTGACCTCGTCTTAGTGTCAGGGATGCCCCGGTGTCTCAACGCTCACCGGAGTGACTGACAGCGTGCCATCGGAGATGTGCTGCGAGAGTGAATTCCCTCCCGGTGTTGCGTGTCCATGCATTGTCTGCTGCTAAGTGCAGATCCTTGTTTTATTTAGCAGTAAAAGACAGAGGCACTTAAGGCGAGGTGAGCGAGCGTGTCAGGATGGTGTGGTGTTACTGGACGCAACCAATGCCTAATAGTCTTTTCACGGTTGAGTGGATTTCGCTCTGGATACAACGGAAGTCTAATTGTTGATTTTTTTTTTATTATTAATATGACCCCCCAACCCCTTCTTTAATGTACCAAAGACTCTCAAGTGCCACCACTTAGAGGTGCCAACCCTTGGCATCGGTTTTGTTACGGGGAAATGTGGACAAAGACAAACCTGGGCCACCCATCCTCACTAACTGCGACTTATCCACTTACAACCCTTAAAATAAACTTCATGTTTTGAGAGTAAACAAGCAAAACAGGGTAGAAAACCCAACGAGACAACGACAAAACCCAACGAGTCAACGACAAAACCCAACGAGTCAACGACAAAACCCAACGAGTCAACGACAAAACCAACGAGACAACGACAAAACCCAACAAGACATTGGCCAACCAGATGACCATGGTCAACCAGATTTAACCTTTCACCGATGTCATGAAGTCAGAGCAGAGAAAGAAAACTGCTGCTTGATTGCTAATGGTTCTTGCACTAAAAAGCAAACTGAATCTATTTTTCTCAGAAGGTTTTTACAATGTATTGAATGTCTTTCTGGGTTGATTCCCGAATCTTGATGTTCAAGGGGTCCCGGTGGGTTTTTGCAGGATCCCTTAGAGGAGAAAGGGGAGATGGAGGTTGTTGAGTAGCTGTAGGGTGACTTTAGATGGATCTTGTATGGGAGGGAGGAGAAGCGTTCAAAGCAGCTGTGACAGAGTGAAAAACTTATATGAGCTGTCAGTGGATTAGATATTTCCGTTCCAGGTTCACAGTGGTAATCAGAAGATGATTTCACCCGTACAGAGAGCACGGCTAAGGGTGAGACGCTCTGCCAACAGCCTGGCAGCCGCAGCAAGTTAACCCTGTAGGCTTCAGCTGCAATTTGAATTAGAGCGTCAGCTCTTTAGCTTAGCTCCGCTGGTGCTGTCAAAGTGGCAAACTGTGACAGGAACTAGAAACCTTTATAGGACAAGGAGATACAAATGCAAAACAATGTTAATAGTAAAGCAAACAAAAGGATATCACAGGCAGTGATGGGGGGGAGAGGAGATGAGATGGGGGGGCGTATTTACATTTTTTATTGAACTGTTTGATATCTTTGTGGCACTGAAATTATGACGTATTAATGGACATTTGTATATGATTGCATGATTTTTCCTCATTATGACTAGTACACAACAGACAGGACTGTACCCATGCAATCTCTCAGGCTAATAAGATTTTGTACAAGCAAAAAAAAAATTCCATCAGTTTGTAAAATGTATTCAGGTTGCTATTTGTAGCTTTGACCATTTAGATGTTTTTGATTCACAATTACCATTTGTATGTGTTATTTTGTAGAAAGCGTTGTGGCAAGTATGGCTGCACCTACGCACAGCGGACGCCCTCGCCGGGAACCATGATAACACATCCAGCTGTCACTTCTAAGCCTTTTTCAGCCTAACATGGCCGGGGGACATGGGTAGAGTCACAATGTCAGCTGACAGTTTCAATGCAGCCGTTTAAACTTTTTGTAGCTGCTTTACTTGAAAGAACTTTATTTTTTTTTTTATCGGTTTGACAGTTTTTGTACTATTGAGAAACGCTGCTGGACGTGTTCGCTGGTGGTTGAGAGCCGGAGGTAGTGGTGGTCAGCGTGTGCTGATAACGTGGTGCCGTACTTACTGGCACTTCTTCCTTTTAAAGGGAATTTCTTTTCTTTCAAGATAACATTTTCTGTTTTGTGTTCGGCGGTTTTGCGGCCTTACCATATTGTTCATGTTTAAGGGCTGCTTCTTCCGGAAATGTCTGTTGCATGCAGACAGTGGGGTGAATTGCAGGAATTCACCCTTTCCTTGCCAGAGAGCTTGGCCAATTTTGCAAGGCAGTAGGCTCTAGGAGTTATGGGGGGGAGGGGCGGGGGCGGGGGGGGGGTTACCATACCTGCAGACTTTGGCACTTTATTGGATTCTGTCATTTGGAACATTCCTAAAAATGAAGATGGCTTTCTTCTAACCTAGTGCATTGATGTACTCTGAATTCTCGTGCATTACTGAATTTTAAGATTGCATGAGCGTATCCTTATTGTTCTGATAAATCTTCATAATTTACTATCTTTTGGTCTGCTGATGTTTGTCACCCGTGCCCCAGCGCCATCAACCTGGTCCCACCTCCCTGCAAGGCACTGGCCTGGAACAAGGGTTGGCACGTCTGGTTGTCGGGTCACCTGATGTGCATATACCTGTTGTGGGTCAGTGACTCCTCAAGTAGTGGCATAGGGATGACAGCCGTGGAACTGGCTTTTTCAAAAACAAGTTAGCAAAAGTAACTTTCTATCCTGACTGGCCTCTTTGGTTTTCTAGAGGTGAAGAAACTAGAAGCATGTCCGTTTTACAAAATAGCTGGACCTAGGGCAGCCTTTCGCAAGCAGGGTGCCTTGAGGATTCTTCAGGGGTGCCTTGGCAAAATGTCCAAAAATTGCATAACAACTTGTAAACAAGCCAGCGGGTGGAACAAACCTGCCTTTTAGTTACACAAAGACACCAGTTTTCACTATTACAACCCTCTAGCCGCCAGCATCTTGACAACCAATGACATCATCAGTTGATAAGGAGGATGTCAGCTGCCTGCACAGCATCCTAGTTTAACCCTCTCCGTCAGTGCTGGGGTCACATTAGCTCAGCAATGGACAGGGGTGGACTGACAACTCATGGGGCCCCCGGGCAATAGGAAATCATGAGGCCCCTGTGTCCTCACCCACACTCAAACCACACCCAAAAAAAGCCTATAAAAAGGTACCAGGGGCATTTTATAGGGCCCCCTACTGACTCCGGGCCCTCGGGCAGTACCCGAGTGACTAAATGGTTAGTCCACCCCTGGTGATGGAGAAAAACTGAGGGAGAGGAGAAACACTGGAATACTAGTCAGTGCCAGGGTGCAAAAGTGTATTTGCTTTGGAAGAAAAAATCACCTCTAATGTTGGGTGTCCTACATGTGTGGATGTTGCTGTTATATAAAACTATTAGAATAGTTTTTCACATTTTAGAATGGGGTGCCGCAAGACTGTCTATACTTTTAAAGGGTGTCTCGGGACTGTCCATAATTTTAGAGGGTGCCACGGGACTGTCCATAATTTTAAAGGGTGCCTCGGGAATGTCCATAATTTTAAAGGGTGCCTCAGGACTGTCCATAATTCTAAAGGGTGCCTCGGGACTGTCCATAATTTTAAAGGGTGCCTCGGGACTGTCCATAATTTTAAAGGGTGCCTCGGGACTGTCCATGATTTTAAAGGTTGCCTCGGGACTGTCCATGATTTTAAAGGTTGCCTCGGGTCTGTCCATAATTTTAAAGGTGCCTTGGGGCTGTCCATAATTTTAAAGGGTGCCTCGGGGCTGTCCATAATTTTAGAGGATGCCTCAGGACTGTCCATGATTTTAGAGGGTGCTTGGGATGTCCATGATTTTAAGGGTACCTCGGGACTATCCATGATTTTTAAGAGGGTGCTCGGGACTGTCCATAATTTTAAAGGTTACCTCGGGACTGTTCATAATTTTAAAGGGTGCCTTGGGACTGTCCATGATTTTAAAGGGTGCCTCGGGACTGTCCATGATTTTAGAGGGTGCCTCGGGACTGTCCATGATTTTAAAGGGTACCTCGGGACTATCCATAATTTTAAAGGGTACCTCGGGACTATCCATGATTTTAAAGGGTACCTCGGGACTGTTCATGATTTTAGAGGGTGCCTCGGGACTATCCATGATTTTAAAGGGTACCTCGGGACTGTCCATGATTTTAGAGGGTGCCTCGGGACTGTCCATAATTTTAGAGGGTGCCTCGGGGACTGTCCATAATTTTAAAGGGTACCTCGGGACTGTCCATAATTTTAGAGGGTGTAGTGTAGCCTGACATCCAGAAGGTAGCAGAGTTATTATGGAGCGATAAGTCCCGGGAAGGCAACGCCAGCCATAGAACCAGCACCTGTACACAAACATGAATCTTGTGTTCAGCAGCCAGTATTGTACTCTGGAAGGAATCTTGGACATGCTGATCATTAAAGTGAGGAGCTTTCTTTAGGTCAGTTGGTGTCCAGGCAGCGGGAATACAAAAAAAAATATAATGTTTTCTGGGCACTGTATCAGCCGGCTTTAAAATGCCCGTGGGATCCATAATTGACCGATATGCTTGATTATCTTGTTTCCCCCCCCCCCCCCATTCCCAGAACTCATTCAGCCTTTTCTCAGTATCCAGCCTTTTCCAGTATGTAAGAATCTCTTCACCGTCAGATGGACTGCCTTATGTCACCTCCGTTCTGTAGAATAGAACTGCTCATTACTTACCAGGTCCCTTTTGTATGTGGGATGTGCGGTTGATTAGGAAACTGGCGTGTTGTAATCAAGTGCTGTGTAGTTCTGGTATTATGTAAGATGCTAGGGCGTTCTCAGTTTTGCCTCTCCAGCAAGCTTGGAACTAAATGATGGGGAAGGTAAAGGGTTAAAAAGTGTCAACATCCAGTTTGCCAGCCAGGAGAATTCCACCCCCCACCTTCCAGCAGATCACAATGTAAATTATGTAGCATCTGTTGTGTTGTGTCACCTGCTCTGGCCCCAAGTCATTGACATGTAACTGTCTACAGCACTTTCACCTACATTTTAACTAGATTATATATGACTGCACACTAAACCGAGCACGTCTGTACACTACAGCATAGCGAGCATACACTTGCAGCATAGAGAGCATGGCTGTGTTCTGTACTTTGCAGGATAGGATACTTTGCAGGATAGAGAGCATGGCTGTGTTCTATACTGTACATTTTCAGGATAGGATAGAGAGCATGGCTGTGTTCTATACTTTGCAGGATAGAGAGCTTTGCAGCAGGATAGAGAGCATGGCTGTGTTTCTATACTTTGCAGGATAGAGAGCATGGCTGTGCTGTATACATGGCTGTGTTCTATTTGCAGGATAGAGAGCATGGCTTGTTCTATACTTTGCAGGATAGAGAGCATGGCTGTGTTCTATACTTTGCAGGATAGAGAGCATGGCTGTGCTGTATACATTGCAGAATTGCATAGCTGCGGATCATGGCTTTCATGGTTGTGATCCTTGGTGTCAAGCTTATAACTTGTGGTTCTAATACTGGGTGTTGGGACTGTCTCTTGGTTGTAGTACTGGGTGCTGGGCCTGTCTCTTGGTTGTAGTACTGGGAGTTGGGTCTGTCTCTTGGATGTAGTACTGGGGGTTGGGTCTGTCTCTTAGTTGTAGTAGGGAGTTGAGCCTGTCTCTTGGTTGTAGTACTGGGTGTTGGGACTGTCTCTTGGTTGTAGTAATGGGAGTTGGGTCTGTCTTTGTAGTACTGGGTGTTGGGCCTGTCTCTTGGTTGTAGTACTGGGTGTTGGGCCTGTCTCTTGGTTGTAGTACTGGGTGTTGGGCCTGTCTCTTGGTTGTAGTACTGGGAGTTGGGACTGTCTCTTGGTTGTAGTACTGGGAGTTGGGTCTGTCTCTTGGTTGTAGTACTGGGAGTTGGGCCTGTCTCTTGGTTGTAGTACTGGGTGTTGGGACTGTCTCTTGGTTGTAGTACTGGGAGTTGGGCCTGTCTCTTGGTTGTAGTACTAGGAGTTGGGCCTGTCTCTTGGTTGTAGTACTTGGAGTTGGGACTGTCTCTTGGTTGTAGTACTGGGTGTTGGGTCTGTCTCTTGGTTGTAGTACTGGGTGTTGGGTCTGTCTCTTGGTTGTAGTACTGGGAGTTGGGACTGTCTCTTGGTTGTAGTACGGGGTGTTGGGTCTGTCTCTTGGTTGTAGTACTGGGTGTTGGGTCTGTCTCTTGGTTGTAGTACTGGGAGTTGGGTCTGTCTCTTGGTTGTAGTACTGGGAGTTGGGCCTGTCTCTTGGTTGTAGTACTGGGAGTTGGGCCTGTCTCTTGGTTGTAGTACTGGGTATTGGGCCTGGATCATGGTTCTAGTACTGGATGTTGGTTGTGTATATCTTGGTTGTAGTACTAATATTGTGCCTTTCTTGTAGTTCTAGTACTGGCGTTTGGGCCTGTCTTGTGGTTCTAGTTTTGGGTGTTGATTTTTTCTTTCATGATTTTGATGCTAGTATTGGGCCTGTGTCATGGTTCTGGCCCTTTCTCATGGTTCTTGTACTTGTTGGTTCTGTCCCTCATGGTTCTGGTAATGCATGTTGGCCCTGTATTTTGGAACTACTGCATGGTTTCAATACTGGGTGCTGATCCTCTCCTTTGTTTCTAGTACTTGGTGTTGAGCCTGTCTTTTGGTTGCAATACTGGGTGCTGGGCCTGTCCCATGGTTCTAGTACTGGATGTTGAGCTTGTCTCTTGGTTCTACTACTTGGGTGTTGAGCCTGTCTCATAGATTTTTACTGGGTATTGGACTGTCTCATGGTTTTGGCCCTGAGTGTTGGGCCTGTGTCACGGTTCTGGTCCTGGGGGTTCTATTACTGGGTGTTGGGCCTGTCCCATGGTTCCAGTACTTGAAGCTGGGCCTGTCTCTTGTTTCTAGTACTGGATGTTAAGCATGTCCCTTGGTTCTAGTACTGGGTATTGGGCCTGTCTCACTGTTCTGGTCCTGAGTGTTGGGCCTATCTCTTGGTGTTGGTCCTTAGTGTTGGGCCTATCTCATGGTGCTGGTCCTTAGTGTTGGGGGCCTATCTCATAGTCCTGGTCCTGAGTGTTGGGCATGTCTCACGGTCCTGGTCCTGACAGTTGGGCCTGTCTCATGGTTCTAGTACTGGGTGCTAGGCCTAGCTCATGGTTCTCACATTGGGTCTTGGGCCAACCTCTTGCGGTTTTGCAAACTTTATCTGCCAGTATGAATCATCTTTATCTTTCTCACAAGACGATAGTGGATTCTGCACTTTCCCCTCGCTGACTTTCACTACCTAAAATGGAATTCTGTGTGTCTGTGAAGGCCTGTCACCGAGGACACTTTTCTGTTCCCCATTTATGATAGTTAGAGGCCATCCAACAGACCTGAAGCTGCAGAAGAACTGAAAGTACCAGCATGTCGTTCCAGAGATGTCAGCTTGGCCCATGAACCTTTTTGGAACTGTCTCAAGGCTAATAGATGCAAGTATCTGTCTTGTGTCCCTCTAGACCAGAACATTCTTTACTGGCCAAAGCCCCCATATGATCATCAGTTCTTCAGTCTTGCTGGTAACAACTGTCGGGGCCACAAGTTATCCTTATCCTCCCTCCTTTTCTTAAGGGACCTTTAAAAAAAAATCACCATATTGGAAGTTTTACATGGCTATCACTTCTGAACATCTGTTGCTTTTCAACACATATCATCGATCAATGAACTTCACAATGGTTGAGTCAGTCTGAGACACAAGTAAAGTTAAACACATTATTTACATAAATCTAAGTTTCATATATTCCATGGAAGCCATCTTCTGCTTGTGGGATGGACTGCAGTTTCCTGTCACATGATTCTTTGTTGACAAATCTTCTATTATTGGGAACTACAGAGGGTGGTGCTTGAGACCTGGGAATACATTGGTGTGTATTTTCTCCATCTCAGGGACTTCCTATTGGGAAAATTAACCCTCTTTACTTCTCCTGTGACCATTGCAATAGGATAGAAAATAATGGTAAATTTAAAGGGATACTAAAGGCTATTTTTGTTTATACGAACCTGCTCTGTGCAACAGTATTGCACAGAATAGTCCTTTACCTCCTCTTCTGGCAGTCACGCTCACCTGCATGCATGCATGCATGCTCCCTCCCGAGCCAGGCTGTGTGCGTCCATAGACACACACAGTGCCAGGAAACCATGCCCCCTCTCCTTCCTCACAGGAGTTTGATTGACATTAGGTGGAGTCTATGGCTCCCACTGTCCTCAGTGTCTTTTGTGAAAGCAGGAAGTGAGGGGAGCGGTGCTGGAGCACTGACAGGTAAATGTTTAGGGATGGTGGTGGGTAGGACAAGCAGTGGGGCGTTTTTTTTTTACCATAGTGCAGATAATGCATTCAAGTAAAAAAAAAAACATATTTTTAAATTATTATCATCTTTTATTAAATTTTATTTTAGTACACAAATCAACAATATACAGTTTATTAAAACATCTTTAATCCAACTAAGTATTTTTGACCATCCAATCCCCCATCCCTGCCTCCCCATTAATTACCCCGTCCACATCAATCTTTCCATTTCTATCTTAACCTGTCTATCACTCCCAGGCACGGTTCTATATTCTCTCTTCTCCTTACTACTTATTTATTCAGTTTAATTCTCCAACTCTATAACTGGGGCACCCATTATTTCAAGATATTTTCCCGATGTTTTAAACCCATACCACCTACTCCATTCTTCTCTACGTTTTTCCATTCTATCTTCATCAATGTGGTACAACTCTGCCATCTTATATACTTACTCAATCCTCTCTATCAAATCTCTCATTGTTGGGGAGTCCCTCAACCGCCAGAATTTAGGTATTAGCCCTTTTGCAGCACTGATTAAATGGAATAATAGGCTATTTTTATATAGTGAAAAAAAACATTTTTGACTTTAGAACCCCTTTAAAATTTTGAGAAGTGAGAAAAGGAAGTGAGGGGAAATCTTCCAATGGGTTTAACCTTTTCTGGTAACAGCAGTCTGATATGGCAATTTCCCTCTAGAGAGATTTCCTCTCACGTCCTGTTGTTCCTCCAGGATGGGAAGTAAAGGGAAATCTGCCCTACTCTAATCTAATACTGAATAAAAATTGCCTTGACATACACTTCAATGGTGACTCCACTTGCCATGGAGCTGGGCTGTTGTGATAATATTCCTAAATGCTGGTGTCGCCCACACACACATAGACACACCCCGTGTTGGGCACCTCTCCCATCCCTTCTGGACGGATCCTGACAAGCTACGCTTTGACGATTATCCTGTGCTACACGGCTATCAGGTCGCCCACATACAAGTCACACGCTTAGCATCACATACAGACAGGCCACACTTGCACCACACTTGCACCACACTCAGGGTTTCATTATCAGTCTGCTGTTCTGGTGGACACCGAGACGTTTCCTGTTAAAGTTCTACTTCATCTGTGAAGGGGAGGTGAACAGTTTCACATTCTGTCATCGTGACTCCAGAGAAAAATACATTTTGGCTGCAACTTGTCTGTCTGCGTTAGTGTCACCTTAATACTCTGCTGAACTAAGAATATCTTCAGTCTTTCAAAGTCAACCTATGGATGCTCAGAGATAATAGCAGGGACCCTCAAGTGGCTAACCATTGGTCCTTAAATGTGATGGGCTGATGCAGTAACCAGTAGTGAGCCAGGAGGCCAGTGGCCAACCATCAAATTTTTTGCTCCATGTTGGTGTTTGCATATCAGAGCTTTGGGTCTTGCACTCAGAAAGGGGTAGAAATGTGTATTCACTAACCTCACTGTGCCAAGCTTTCCTGTAACAACTGGCACAAGGATCACACCATTGGTGGAACAGATGGACTGAGGGTTGCCATAGATCAGTGGTTCCCATTCTCAGAGTTCAAGTAACAAAGTAACATAGTTAAGAGATGTGTGGACTCCCCTCCATTTATACTTACCTAGGTTGATGCAGCATTGGTCCGATGCTGCATCTGTCCCCCACCGGCTCTAAGTTTGAGAACTTGGCGATCAGGACTGCTGAGTTCTCACAGCCACTCTGAGCAGAGAGCATTGACTGTCAATCACCGCTCTCTGCTTTGCCCCCCCAGCGCTCACTGGAGCACTGGGCTGTGGAGGGGGAGGTAGCAGCTGGCTTAGGCTCTCGCCCACTGAGAGGCTGAGCCAGGTGGCGCTCCAGACTCTGGGGTGGATCCCAGCTTTGAAATCAGGATCTTTATCTAGCCTGAACCAGCTGAGTGACGTTAGCCAACAGCAGGCTTCAGCCTGTTGTCAGCTGAAAACGGGTCACGGGAGTGCAGAACGAACTGCGTTCCTGAGATCCACAAAAGTACAGCCAAAAGAGAATGGGCTGTACTTCTCCTTTAAGTTGAAAAAAGACACAAGTCCATTGAGTCCAACCAATATTAGAAATCCTCCATATACCCACAGTTGATCCAGAGGAGGGCAAAGAAAAAAAAACCTTATAAAATATGGTCCAGGCAATGAGAGAGCCTCCTGGTCTCTCACTAGCTGGACCATATTTTATAAGGTTTTTTTCTTTGCCCTCCTCTGGATCAGCTGTGGGTATATGCATACACCATAGCACCCTGCCACGAGTGTTATATGAAAGGACATCCTGTACTAGTTCATGCTTCTCCTTGATGGCCACTAGGTGCTGCAGACCCTAACTGTGCAATCTTCTGATCAGTTGCTTGATTCCGCTCTGATACATACAGTACATATACATGTAAAGTACATGTCAGTCAGACAAAAGGCTAGAAGGGTCGAGGTGCTAGATCCAAAACTGTTGCCAGTATAATGTCTTGTTTTAAACTTTGAGACAACAGATTTGTTACTTTTGATAGATTAATAAAAATAAGAGTGCTAAAACAACTCGGTATTACTTCATATGTGGGAACTGTGGACGTGCTCCAGCAGCTAAAACAACAGATGTGCAGTACACCATTTAGAAGTTACATATGCATGTACACTATATTGCCAGAAGTATTGGGCCAGTCCTCCAAATCATGTGATTCAGGTGTTCCAATCCCCTCCATGGCCACAGGTGTATACAATCATCCCCTAGGCATGCAGACTGCTTCTACAAACATTGGTGAAAGAATGGGTCGCTCTCAGGAGCTCAGTGACTCCAAGCGTGGTCCCGTGATAGGTTGTCACCTGTGCAATAAGTCCATCCGTGACATTTCCTGGCTACTAAATATTCCACGCTCAACTGTTAGTGGGATTATACCAAAGTTAAAGCAACTGGGAACAACAGCAACTCAACCACCAAGTTGTAGGCTACGTAAAATGACAGAGCGGGGTCAACGCATGCTGAAGCGCACAGTGCGCAGAAGTCGCCAACTGTCTGCAGAGTCAATAGCTAAAGACCTCCAAACTTGGTGTGGCCTTCAGATGAGCCCAACAACGGTGCGTAGAGAGCTTCATGGAATGGGTTTCCATGGCCAAGCAGCTGCATCCAAGCCTTACATCACCAAGTGCAATGAAAGCGTTGGATGCAGTGGTGTAAAGCATGCCGCCACTGGACTCTAGAGCAGTGGAGACATGTTCTCTGGAGTGACCAATTATGCTTCTCAGTCTGGCAATCTGATAGTCCTGTGTGGGTTTGGCAGTTTCCAGGAGAACGGTACTTGGTGTGGGGTTGTTTTTCAGGGGTTGGGCTTGGCCCCCTAGTTCCAGTGAAGGGAACTGTTAAGGCATCAGCATACCAAGAAATTTTGGATAATTTCATGCACCCAACTTTGTGGGAAGAGTTTGGGGATGGCCCCTTTCTGTTCCAACATGACTGCACACCAGTCCACAAAGCAAGGTCCATAAAGACATAGTTGAGTGAGTTTAGGGTGGAGGAACTTGACTGGCCTGCACAGAGTCCTGACCTCAACCCAACAGAACACCTTTGGGATGAATTAGAGAGGAGACTGCAAGCCAGGCCTTCTCATCTGACATCAGGGCCTGACCTCACAAATGCGCTTCTGGAAGAATAGTCAAACCCATAGACACTTTCCTAAACCTTGTGGACAGCCTTCCCAGAAGAGTTGAAGCCGTTATAGCTGAAAATAGCGGAGCCAACTCAATATTGAACCCTACAGACTAAGACTGGGATGCCATTAAAGTTCATGTGTGTGTAAAGGCAGGTGGCCCAATACGTTTGGCAATATAGTGTATATATTAGACTTAAACTTGCACAGAGACTTTTTGAATCCCTATTTGGCCATGTTTTGGTCATTTACCACACCATTGACTTTGATTTAAAGCACCTACGCAAGGTGAAGGACATCCTGAAAACATGATCTATTGAGGACTGAGGTTGAGAACCACTGCCATAGATAGTCTTTACAAAGAGAAGAAGATGGTCTTTAGGTTCAGACCAGGACTTTTTTGAAGGTTATATATGACCAGTGTGTAGGGTCCTTTCTTGGAGTGACAAGACCAGTCTTCTCAATATGAAGAAGTGGGAATCCCATTCTTGGCACAACAATATGTCCAGAGCTGAGGAACTGAGTGTCCATAGATGGGCCAGTCTCTCCAATGAGGAGAAGATGGTCTGTAGGTGCTGACCAGGGGTAAATGACCATATTGTAGGCTCCTTACTTGTAATGACAAGGCCATTCTCCTCAGGAATCTCAATATAAGGAGCTGAGTACTGGAACTCTTACAAAAGGGTTAAAAAAAATTGTAATATCAGCTGTAAAAATAACAAGTTTTTACCTTAGGAAATGGGCAAAGGCAATGCGTTTCAGGGCTTTGCACCCCCTTCATCAGGTCTGTATGTGGTATGAGTAGTACTTGTTGAAGGCCATTAGCCAAAGAAAGGAATGTGCTGCATATAGTCAAGAAGGATGGGTGGTGAAGGAGGCGCAGATTCCCGAAACGCATTGACTTTGCCCTAAAAAATACATTCTTCACAAGAGTGGGATCTTTTCATTCTTCTGGACCCCGCTGACTTCTCTGGTCCATGCTAGTATTTGCACAACTTAGCTTTGGCTTTTGCATGTCCCAGGGCTCTCGAGATGGGGTGTAAAGGTGCATACACTACAAAAATAACACTTCTGATCCAATTCCTGGATTTCTTGGGGGGGGGGGTGCTGCTTGTTGCACCCCCATTCCTGCTGTGTATACCGCCTTACTGACTAAACCTGTCTGCCTTCACTGGCCGCTTATCATTTGATTGGCAGGGGAGCTGCAATGTAAAACAAATATTAATGCCTAAGGCCTGTCGTTCTTGGCCCTTGCTTTCTGCCAGAGGTTCCGTGAATGGAACGGGAAACACCACATTCTAGGTATAAAAGCAAACACTATAGATGACAGCTGTGAGAAATGAGAGATATCAGTTAAAATGATACATTTTGGATGATCGACAACAATCAAATCTATAATCACAAGTCATATTATCCCGAAATATTAAAGGATTGTCATTCACTACGCATCATTCAGATAGAAAAATCTTTAGCGATGTTTAAGCAAATCATCTGAAACTTTGCCGTGAGGCGGCCCTAGACCGCCATATCTGTCATTCATTTAGCGTTTGGTCTCAATATTAAAGTGTCAATCACGCGTCGCTTGTGCGTTTCAGGAGAGATCTGGGAGGTATAGTGTTTGTTTTGTGTTTATAAGCAGAATGAATATGCGTTTACATATAAATCCAATTACATGCGTTTAGGTGCTCCATACAGACTTTCCTCCAGCAGCATGCATTTACATGACTTTACATTTGTTCACAGGATCTAACCTGCTGCTGGACTCACAGATTTTTATTTTCTCTAAATGCAATTAAACGGAACACAAGAAATGCAAAGTGTGCAAAATGCCATTTAAATCCATCACAAGCATTTAGAAATGCCCTATACAGATATTAAAGCACATGTATGTCATTGCCCACGTGATTGAGGCCTACTGATGGCCATGAACAGGATGATCTGATCAAACATTTCTGCACAGAAGCAGACTGTGTGATCAAATCAATGAATTATCTAATGGTGGCCATACACGCTTTGAGAAATGATCGATTTCTTCTCCAGTTGGTCTCTCTTGATAGGAACAGTGGATCTATAGTCGAAAACCCAGTCAATTGATTTGAGACTCAGAGGGAAGGGAATTTCAATCAATAGCTGGAAGATGCGATCGTAAATTATTGATCACACCTGCCTTTTCACCATGTAATCTCATATTTGGATCGATTGAAAATACAATCAAGTTCGTGAACAAAGTATCTCAGTACGCTGATCGATGAAACACGATCAGTAGTTTTCCATCCTGACTGATCGACTCATTTTGAACAGATCCAATCTAAATTGATCAGAAAGAAGTAATGGCTATTCAAACGTTTGCCGACTCAATGGAATATTGCATTCGATGTCTGTATGGCCAGCATAAAAGATATATACTAAACAAGATTTGTTAAAACTAGAGAGTGCAAAACTTGGTGCAGCTCTGCATAGTAACCAATCAGCTTCCAGGTTTTATTACTAAAGCTTAATTGAAGAAGCTGAAGTTAGAAGCTGATTGGCTGCCACGTACGGCTGCAACAGATTCTGAGTGCACTCATTTTAGTAAATCTCCCCCACTGGGTTCACATTCCCCAATTAAAATGTAAGAAAAATCTCTTAGATTGTAAGCTCCAAGGAGCAGGGTCCCTGGATTGTTCTAGTTTTAGTAAGGTTGGCCATAAATTATTCAATTTTCTTGAGATTTTTGATTTAGATTTACCAAAAACCATATAATAGGAGGTCAAACCTAACAACACTTTCAATTGTATCCAATTAGGCGGGCTCTTGCACTACATAGTTGAACGTAAATCTAAAGGAAATTGGGCAGAAATTGGACAGAAAATTGTATAGTGTATGGCCAGCCTAAATCTCCTGCACTGTGTATCGAAATTATTCTGATTAGTCTAAAGGAAAATCTGATTGCAGGAAAGTTGACAGATCACACTACGATGCATGACAGCGGGCATCGCATTTAAGGGCTGTTTTTGTGGGCTGCCCTCTGCTTGCCAAAGTAGCTCGTGTAGATTTGTGAGCGCTGAGAGTTACACATTTTTTAACCGAGTGTTTTTACACATGAAAAAACATGCATCTGTTTGCTGCATATGGGGTGCCATTAACAATAATTAGAAAAAATCCCCAGCACACTAAATGGCAGTTTGCAGGTACAATAAATGGCACTACAAGCCTGACACACATTTTTCATGCATTTCATAAATGTGCGATTTTGATTGTGTTCACAAAATGCCGAAGTGTGATTGGGGCCTAAGTGTGTAGCTGATGAAACGATCTTTTCAATCGTCCAATTTCAGTATTTGTCTCCCGAACTGTAACTTAGTTGCTGATATGTTCATATATAAAAAATCTCTTAGATTGTAATCTCCAAGGATCAGGGCCCTCCTAATCAGGGGCGGACTGACCATACGAGAACTCGGGCACTGCCCAAGGGCCCAGGGTCAGTAGGGGGCCCCATGAAATGCCCCTGGTACCTTTTATAGGCTTTGTTTGAGTGTGGGCAAGGACACAGGGGCCCCATGATCCCCTATTGCTCGGGGGCCCCATGAGTTGTCAGTCCGCCCCTGCTCCTAACCTTCTTGTATTGAACTGTATTGTTGCTGTATTGTCTCCCGTTATATTGTAAAGCGCTGAGCAAACTGTTGGTGCGATATAAATCCTGTATAATAATAATATATAAATCCTGTATAATAATAATATATAAAATCCTGTATAATAATAATATATAAATCCTGTATAATAATATATAAATCCTGTATAATAATAATATATAAAATCCTGTATAATAATAATAATATATAAATCCTGTATAATAATAATAATATATAAATCCTGTATAATAATAATAATATATAAATCCTGTATAATAATAATAATATATAAATCCCGTATAATAATAATAATAATATATAAATCCTGTATTATAATAATACTAATATATAAATCCTGTATAATACTAATATATAAATCCTGTATAATAATAATAATATATAAAATCCTGTATAATAATAATATATAAATCCTGTATAATAATAATAATATATAAATCCTGTATAATAATAATAATCTAGGAGGGAGGGGCTAGTGGTACAAAAGGTAGTAACTGTGGGGGATGGACTGGTAGGAGGAGTAGAAGATTCTAGTATTAGCTGAGGGCAGGATAGGCTTCCCTGAAGAGAGAGGTTTTCAGAGATCCCCTAAAGGTGAGCAGAGTAGGCGATAGTCTGATAAATTGGGGTAGAGACAATAAATATAATAAGAGGAAATGACACGGACTGTGCGGCAGTATCTGTTGTTTGCCAGGCTGGATTTCTGCCTCGCTTGGCCAGACCGCGCCACAGGTTTCCACTCTCCGGCTACAGCGCTTTAAGCCGCACCCCGTCCCGCCTCCTTCCCGCGGAGATGCTTGTCACACATGAGTAGGTGTTTGCTGAGTGATGCCGGAGGAGAGGAGCCAGGAGATCCTGTGTTTGCGTTCAGTCACGCAGCAAAATGGGGTCGCTTGCGTCTTCCTCCATTAACCCCCCCCCCTTCAGTTTATAGCTGAGATCTCTCGATTGGGTGCCCATTGAGACTCCACTAAGAGCTCCTCTGCTAAGACCTATGTTCATGTTAAAATGATCACATGACGGCGC